TGAAGTCAAAGTATGAAGTAGCAGAAACTGAAAACACTCTGTACTGAAAGTACAAATTCCTCAGAGTGCTTGAGTAAATGTACTCAGTTACTTTCCACCACTGTTACTGACTGATGCAGACATTAACAGCTTTAAATGAGGTCACCATCAATGTTACATTTTAGCATAGGTGTAAAATGATACAAATGTTTTATGATTTAGAAAATGTAATTTGTGTATTATTACTCCTGCTCTCTAAGAGTAGTAGCATTATGCATGGAACATTGGAGAGTGTGTAATGGTTTTAACTTTGCTTTCACATGATGAAATGATGAGATTTTGCAGCCATGTTTTTCTGCATCACCCACTTAGTACTGACTTGCTTCTAAATTTTCACCACACAAACATAACACCACAAAGAAACAACCCCTCCCTCTCAATTTCCACCAGACAACAGAATGTCATTCAAAGACATTTCTTTTGTCCCTCACAGCAGCACATTTCCTAGGACTGAGAACGCTGTCCACTATTTTGATTGATCATGTATTTGTATCTATTCATAGAGGCCAGATTCATCATTCTAATTTGTCAAGTTGCTGAAGTGCTGAGTTAATTATGTAGGAGAGCCAGAAAAAGGGGACAGCCTTCTATTTAGGCTCATCTGAGGTTTTCCTGCTTCACCTCAGCTCCAAACGAGCAGCCAAAGCTCCTCCAGGCTGCAGGAGCTGTTTGGCACCATGGGTAATTAGTGTGATGAATGCTTTAGTAGAACAAACAGTGGCAGTCGGCTGTCTTGTTCATTGTGGGCTGTGCTGTCATAGCTCAGGGGCTGCAGGCTCATCAGGGTAATGGATGATTCTGTAACAGGATGATTTCTCAACCAGCGTGCCACAACTGAGCAGGAAACACAGAGTGTGATGGCTTTTTGATGACATCTGTGCTGGTTATGGATGTTAAGTGCATGTTTGGAAGGTGACTACCAATAAGAGTTTAGTCTGAAAAGATATGATCAAGAAATGCTTCTTAAGGCATTATCACAGAAAATGCAGGGGAATGAGGCAACATATTAATGTACAAATGTTTGTGTGATTGTCTTTTCTTCTCACCGCCTCTTCTCACGCGTATATGGATATGCAAACACCTTCATACTAATCCTCTGTGGGATTGTCTTCCATGGCTGGAGTGTGGAGCTGTGGCTGCTGAAATGATGGATCACATTATTAGATCAGAGGAGAGCAAGGACAGCCAGTAGCTGGATTTGCATTTCACAGTCTCTTTTGTATATGGACCTTTTTAGCATGAAAGGAATAATTGGGCTGTTGTCACTGAGTCAGAGGCAGTTTTTAACAATGTGAGGAATCTTGCAATAAATCAGGCCAGCTGTCAGAGCCATGTCACAAGACAAGGCATTAGTCAAATATGCAGAATGATCTTTTTGCATACAATGTAAAAAGGAATACATCATCATTTGTTCACAGTGGAAAGTCCAGATCTCATAATTGTCCCAACAAATGAAGGGCATATGGTGATTTTGCTTCCTAGATGCACTGGAGGGCAGAGACAGCCGTGACGCCCAGGCTGTTTGTGCTGCCATTTTAGTACCAGCCAATGACCTGTTTTACCTATGTACTTTGAGTTTTCAACCCAATATGTGACAGTGAATAATGTGCTGCACATAAGTCTGATTTCCCAGTCATGTCAACCATGTAGCTGAAGCTGAATAGGGTGATTGCCACAGACAGGTAACCCATATCAAGAAATTGTTTGTCACTGAACTGTTATGAAAGCAGCCAGACCATGGCTAACAGAGCGTGCGACACATACGATCGTGGAAGAGTTATATCTGGGTTCAGGAGGTGAGACTTTGGGGATGTGGACATGTCAGTCCAGCAGAGTCCCCGGGTCAGTGTGAAGACAAGTGGAAGACACATTTCTCTGTCGGCACAGAGACCCCGCATGGGCTCACGCTTTTGTCATCCTAAGTCATTGAGTCAATAGCTGAGAAACATGACACAACCTCTCACTGTCACTTGGCATCAAGTGGAACAGGGAATGGCATGCTTTCCATTTCACTGCTCTGTGGTACCGATAAGACCCCGTGTGCACTCGAGAAACAGCAGAGCTCTCATATAGAAACAGAGCTGCAACCTGGCCTCAAACATGTGCATCACTTTCTCAAAGCAGGGTTACAAGGTGATTTACCGGTCAGTCCATAACCTCACTTATGGATTGTTGTATGTAGGTCAGCTGGGAGGCCTGTGGATAACAAGAGGGCTTAGATGACAGGAAATTAGATCATGGTAAAGCACAAGCACACTTCGATTAAACTGATGTCAGGATTTATCTTCTTCTGTCTGTGCATTTAGATGGGACCAGAAAATGTGACCTCTCACTATTCAAGTGAATATAACACTTTATCACAAGCATGGCTCTACATGTCATATATCAAGCTACATCGTAATCTCAGTATAAGACATGTCCAAAATAAAATTTAAGTGTCTTTTCATACAATGCATTGGTTCCCAACCTTTTAGGTTATGACTCTTTACAGCCAGCCAATTACTCATGGCCGCTTGAGATTTATATTGATATGAGCTGTGAACACTTCAGCCAAAGAGTATTGTTCCCTTCCTAGATGGTTTGATTTGAGTCCTTTGTGGAGTTCCAAGAAAATAAACAGGTAAAAGCAAAGATTTGATAGAACAAATACAATTTGACAAATTGAAAATGTTGATTTTCTTCTTCCTTTTAGTCCTGTTAATCATTTCATGACCCTTTCAGAAATTTGGTACACACATTCAACTTCCCCTCATGATGAACTGTAATAAGTGTTATACATATTAAGACAATGCCTTATTTTTACAACTGGTGCCATCATATGGTCAAAAATTAAATTTGTCCAGTATTTTGGTTTATGACCAAATTAACTACATTTCTCACATCAGTCTACTTTTAGCTTAATGCTAACAGGCAAATGCTAACATGCTAAACTAATGGAGATCATATTAATCATTATACTTGCTAAACATCAGTATGTTACGCTAGCATGCTATCATTAGCAATTATCTCAGCACCACTGTGCCTAAGTACAGCCTCCTGATTGTTCTAAACAATTAACAATCCTTATATGCTGAAAAATATGCAATGCTGGTTTAATGGTGCAAGTACGGTATATTGGTGGATGAATGCTTGATGTGATTCTGGCAAAGACAAATACTGCAAGTTTGTCATTAACAATCAGGCAGCAAATGTCATAAAAAAACAAAAAATAGTATATTTAATGTATTTACAATAAACATACAATCATGTAATATTTTCCAATAAATATACAGAACATAAATCTCTTAAATATAAATTCATGTCATTTAAAGAAAAAAGAAAACAAATCCAAAGAAGCAATAGAGCATATCTAAAAATGTTCTGATGCTTTGAAAATATAGGTTTCATGTTAACAAGAGGCAGCATGCAGCTTAATGGCTCAAACCTAAAGATGAAGATCTGCATATGAAGAGTTTTCTTCCAAAACAACAGCCATCATTTACAAAAAGTAACTAAAAGCAACTAAAGGCAATGTGAACATACAGGATAACTATCCATAGTTGTCCTTTGTTATCAAAATGTCTCAAAACATCCTAGGTCAAAATATTTGCCCTCAAATGACGTACTTTAGCAGTAAACTGTCAATATGTCTTTCACTAAAGATCCACTATAAAAGTCAACCTGCTGTTACCACAAGGCAAGTTCATCAGAAGAGAATAATGACAAATATAGAGTGCTAAAAAAATGCTGCAAAGTTATTTTCTCATCACAAGGCAAAACATCTCAAGCACATTTAGGTGCCAAAAGAAACAGTCCTGTGGCCACAGGTCAAGCAAGTGCTGTTATACTTGCCAGCGCATTAGACAGGCCTACAATATGTTGGCTTCTTCGCAAGGGTTGGATGTTACAGTGCACAGGGTGATATGGCACAACATAGACTTCAGTCAGGTGGTCTCAGAGTAGGACTTCATATCCAGGCACAGGTGCAGGACTGCTAACTGTGAAGTTTGGCTGATTTCCTACAGTCAACTGTATCTACTGTATAATGTCAGGCTATAGCTCAACATGGATGCCACTTATTTCAAGCAAAGTATTGTTTTTATTTGGACCAAAGCAACAACCAGTTATCAGCTTTGAAACCAATAGAAATCTAATCTAAATTAGACAATACCTTCACTAGTCGAAAAGTCCTACAGGTGAACAATTATCATATCCTAAAAAAAACTGATTTTTCTAGACCAATATACAATATTTTAATGTATTTTTGGGACACCTTTGGTGAAAATATGGTGAAGATAAGTGAAGGGATATCACAGAAGGGCTACATACAACTGGAGGACTTGCTTGGCGCTCCAGTATGTTGAGACAAAGTTCTCTGCAGGATGTTACAGAACACTTCTATGGTGTCACTTTGGCACTTGTATGGCACTATTATGTACAGAGGAGTCAGCACTATGAAACACTGGACTTTACAGATGTCAAAGACAGCGTCAGCTGTTGGGGAATGCTAAGGAGCAGATGGTGGCCAGCTGGTATTTGTAGTTATCACCCTCCTCCCTTTTAGAAACATGGAACTGTCCTTTCAACTTGTTTGTACATCCCATGCATTAGGTCCTGAATGTCCTGCTAGGAGCCAATCTTCCCATCAGGGATGGTCACATTTTGAAAGTGTAAAGTATTTCAGACAGTGCCTATAATCAGTGCCTAAAATGCTTCTGTTTGTCTCACTGTGGTGCTAAAGATCTGTATTTATGCCCTCTTAGTTCACAACAAACTAAGCAGCCATTAGTCTGCTCTGGTTTCATGGCTCTGTAATGCCTGTAGGTCTATTGAGAGCTGAGTTCAAGCATTTTCTAACCACTGTTTCCCCCATCTGTAAAATATTTTCTTTGTTCTCAGAATCTGCTTTATTGGCCAGGTGTGTCTGATACACGAGGAATTTGACTCTGGTACATCAGCTCTCAATGTGCATGTACATATCTCCATGCAAGGGGCAAGTAAACAGTAAACCAACATAAGGCTAGTAGTAGTAACATAATAAGCAGTATTAACAAGTATTATTTGTTATGCTTTAGCAGCATCAATATATGGTTTAAATCTTACACTGTTTGTTCAGTGAATTGCTAAAACAAGTTGTATGGTTCTAACATAATCACCACTATGACACACCCACGCACACAAATCACTCAAAAACATAAGTGGTGCCATAAAGAACCAAACTGTGGAACTTTATAAGGAACAGCAGATGGCATTAACTAACTTTAAGGAAAAGTTCAACATTTTACAAGAAAGGTTTGATTTCTTGCCAAGAGATGAGAAGACTGGTACCTCTCTCATGTTGTACAGGGAATGTGAAGCTACAGCCATCAGCTGGTTGGCTTAATTTGGCACAAAGGAAACCAGGGGGAAAGTTAGCCTGGCTCCAGTAGCAAAACCTACAGTACCTGTGAGCACCTGTAAAGCTATTAACATATTGTCTCTATTTCTAGGCTGGGTACAATGACTATGATTTAGATATCAAAGTAATCCAGGAAAAACATTACACTTCATTTGAAGTGAATATGTCAGAAATTCCAATCCAACAGAATTTCTTGGTAAAAAAAAATCCTTTTATTATAGCATGCATTACCTGCATGCTGGTCAATTAACTACTTTTGCCTGGACACTGTCCATCATGCTGTGCTGTGACTTCTCACAGCAAACCCACCACAATCATCATGTCTCACTGTGCTGTCTTGGCGCTCTTCTTAAATGCCTTCATGCTGTGGTCTGTGGCCTTGTGAACTTTGCTGCTGACACTGATGCTGATGGCAAAGGCCTCCTGCCCCAGTGCCTACATCTTGGATAGTCTTATTTGTTATGCGCCCTGTTTGTTATTTATCATGTTGCTATGTATTCCGTGCTTTACTGCTGCAGATGGCCACCCTAGGTGTAGATTATACCACCAAGTCAGACTGTACTTGTCTTGTATTTGTTTCCATTCCCAGTAATAAATAACGCCACTGTTCCTGGAAGAAGAATAGTGGAGGCACAGTCAAATCAGTAGTTAAAGAAATGGTCATGTAACTGAAATGTAACAGGTTCAGTTACTGAATCAGCTCAAATGCCACCCAACTCCTATATCTTCCCTCCCCCCTCCATTTTTTTTCTTAATAATTAACATTTTGGAAGTTGCACCAAATGTCCAAGGGTAATTGTGAAAAGTAAAAAAAAAAAAAAAGGAGAAGAAGAAGAAAGAAATTACAGTCTGGTATAACACTGCTCTAGCTTCAACAAATATCATCTTCAGAGTTTAAAACTATAAGGAACAAGGGGTGCAACATCAGCTCAGACTGAAGAGTTTACTTCCATAATGGGATATCAACCTTTTGAGAAAATGTCAAGTCCTCCTTTAGCAAATCAGTCAGTCAATCAATCAATCAATCAATCAATCAATCAATCAATACATAAATAAAATTATTATATTGGTAAACATTTTTGTAAGCTTACCTTCTGTTACTACTGTATTTCTCATTTGTTTTCCACTACTTACAGTATTTGGGTCCAGGCCACTGGGGTTAAGGCTAAAGAAAGTGTAGTTACTCTGCTGGGATAGAAATTAGTGTAGATATTTTGTCTATACTTTTCTTTTTATCCTAGCTCTGCAGGAAAAAGGGCCACCTGGAGTTATGACCTCTCGGTAACTTAAAAAAGCAAAACAAAACAAAACAAACAAAAAAACTAGGAGCGAGAGTTAGGGGGCTATTAACACATTACTGTGTTGTTAAGTCTTCAGTAAGGGCACCTAGCAGTTTCAAGAGGAGCACTCTCCAAATGGAAGGGTCCCACTTGAATTACAACTGTATATTGTTTATATCTAGAGAAATGCTCCAACCATGAAGTAAGCAAATGCATCATCTAACAATAAACAACCATATTAACTATCTTTATAAACTATCTTTACATCTGGACCTGAGAAATACTTCCTTATAACTGAAAATCAACTGTCTGATAAAGCTCATTTCTGATTCTCACAATGCTTTGATTCTGAAGTATATTTAATCCTAATATGACAATTTCAACTAAACATAATGATCTCATGGTAAAAAAAAACATTCCAGAGGCATTCCACGATGCATACATAACACATAACTGTTCCATCCTCCTTTAAAAATTTGTGGAATATTTTATGTTATTGTGTTGGACAGTATGATTGGTTTTTAAATCAGTGTGTGATTTTATCTGATAAAATGGACTAAAAAAATAGACAATAAATTTGAGTGCAGTGTGAGTATTCATAGAGTATTTGGGGAAATATTTCTTCAATTTTTCATTAAGTCTGATGTTTAGGTAAGAAGAAGGTGAGATCCTTACTGAGGACATTCTTCTAACTGACACAGCGCCAAAGAAACATCAGCTCAGTTGCACGTTTATGGCCCCAGTCTGCAATCCCTGTGCAGACCACGTCTAGAAAACTGACTCCATGTTGTCACTCATCTCTCGGTCCTCTAGGTTGTATATGAACTTTGTCCTGTTGGCTGGGCACTGCGTGATCTCCTTGCCCAAATTGTCCAGAGTCACATTGGAGCTAAAGAGTTCAGTGGGTGTGAGGTATCCCTCACTGTTCTTGATGTATTTCCTGTAGTTCTTTCTCAAACACTGCCATGTGGTAGTGTACAGGAGGAAGGCTGATGACTTGAGGACGATGGCAATGCTGACGTAAAGATGTCTGTAGGTCACATTGTCGTAAAGCATGCAGGCCCCCTTTTCTCCGCAGAGTGAGCTCCAGAACAGACAGGTGGAATCAATGCCCATGCCAAAGATCAGAGGGGGAGGAATAAAGCCTGGAGGTCAGAAGGTGAAAAAGCCTACCAGTTTGAGTTAAGGTTTCCTTTATAACCAGACAGACTTATACAGACAGACTTTATAACCAGACTTCAGACAGAAGTTCATTTCAACCAAGCTGAAAAATTGCTCTGACATTTACATCACAGAACAAAACTGCAGGGCAACAGCAGGCAGCACAAATACAACAGAATCAGACTGAACAGAATATGTACCAATACAAATGAAAAACAAACTGTTTTCTGTGGATATAAATGCAGCACAGAAATTAAAGTTTATACAAGAAATGTGGTAAGTTTCTTACCTATCAGCCTCAGGAGCAGGAACAGAACTCCAAGGGCGTATGATTTCAGCTCTGGACTTACAGTTCTGAAACGAGGAAACATCTAGGATAAACAATGTGTACTACTAAGCTGAATACTGCATCTGAGAAAGTGGCTGTCTGTGGTTTAATAAGACAAGTGCGGCACCACACAGTTTAGGGGGTCCTTTGCCACTAGGTTTGGTCAAGCTCAGGGACTTCTGCAGCACAGGTCTGCTTCTTGTACCTTTGGCCATAATGTCTATGGTTTAGAATATACTGGAATTGTTCTCACCAAAGTCCGTGCTGAGATGTATGAATCTGGTAATATCGGGTCAGTAAAGTCCAACATCAGTCAAGTTTTAAACAAGCCAGCAGTTTAACCAGACAAAACCATTTTATTTGGAAAAAAACAAAATTGTCAGTATCAATCCCTCACTGTACAACGTGAGGACTTCAGAAAGTCAATCAATCAATCAATCAATCAATCCCTCACTGTACAACGTGAGGACTTCAGAAAGCACAGTACGTCAAAATTTATGCAGAAAGGCATCTGAAAATAAGCTACACATATTCCAGTCCATATCACATACTACAGTACATCTAAGCAGGTTTTAAGTATCTGGAAGTGTTCACACTGGAAAAGTGATGAAGCTAAGTTACTTAGGACAGTCAGTGTAGACTAAACAAAACCCAGAGTTTTGAGTGTGCTTTTGACAGACATTATTCTCTGACAGTGCAATGCACAAAGGACATGCTCACAGCTGGAAAAATACACAGCATGTCTAAAAATTCTTATTACATACTATTTATAGAGTATATATTATTAACTAATCTTCATTGTATATTTGTTTAAAAATCTATATACTTAGCAATTTTATATAACAGGAAACGATACATGTGCAATGTCAGATGTCAATCAAACTTTGCCACTTTGTCACCAGTGAAAATTTGTTTACATATTTATTTATTTGCTGTGAGCACCTCCTCCACTTCCTTTGTGGAGTGCATCATGACACAATAGTGTCCATCAACAGATCAACAGCACTCTCAAAAGCCATATGAGTTTTGAGAGTATTATTACCAATAGCAATTATGGCCACAACCATCTAAGTGATAACCAAGCTGTAATAAATTATACATACACTGGAATAATCCTGGAATTGATTTCAGCAGATGTGCCTAGTCTGCTGCTGTCATTATGTTGGCAATATTTATACACATCTGCTCTGTTGTATGCTCTCTGTCCTACAGTGTTCTTTCTCATTATATATGACATAATGTTGCTCTGTGTGCTAGCATTTCTCTGTAGCAGTGTCACCACAATAAACCCCTGTGCTACACCAGGAGGGACGCTGACACCATCATTTCACCCTGCATTGACTATGTGTCAACACCTCCCTCTTGTGGACTTTGTGTGTTACAGCAGCTCTCATACCTGATGAGGATGATAACAGAGGGTGTCTGGGCCATAGCTCCAATCATGCTGCACACACAGATAACACACAGAAAGGTGAGGAAGGCCTGCTGACAGCCGGGACTGGGACACTTCCCTGGTAAAGCCACCGCCTTTTCACTGGTGCTGGATATGCATGTGCAGCTGGTCAGGTTCTGATACAAAAACCAGAAGAGAGATTGGAGCTTAGTTACTTCACGGTCTAAAGAGAGAATGCAACATTGTATGAATGTGCCCAGTGTAGTCACCATACAGCTTGTTTCAGTCAGTGTTACCATCTCCACTCACTGGTTTGGTGCAGCCAGCAAAGCAGGCTGAGAGGTAGGTGACACCGTTGGAACCACACACAGGGCTCACTGATGCTGTATAGCAGTTACAGTTACTGATGCATGCTGACTCAGGTCGCTGCCAGGACTGCAGTGTCCTATGGAGGAGGCCAAGGGTCCCATTAGGGAGTTTATATGTGTATGCATGATGTTCAGCTCAGATGCAAACAACCAGAACAACAATTTGACAATCAAAACTATTTTTCTGATCTGGCTTGTTTCTTTTCATCTGTGTATATGAACATTGATATTTATTTTTTAGGAGTAGATGGAGATCTGATTACATAGGGCACTCTGTGGACTGAACAGTCAACCACTGAACAATAAAGGCACAATGTAATCAGTGACGGTGAATGATTCTGGCAGCTGTCAACTGCATGATGGATATGCATCTGATAGTTATGCATTGGATATTTCCTTAAAGCAGTATACAGAGGTCAGATGTTTCATGTAGTTGTTGACCAGGTTTGCACACACTGCAGCAGGGATGTTGGCCCACTTCTCCATACAGGTCTTCTCCAGATCTTTCAGGGTTTGGGGCTGTCGCTGAGCAACACGGAGTTTCAGCTCCCTCCATAGATTTTCTATTGGGTTCAGGTCTGGAGACTGGCTAGGCCACTCCAGGACCTTGAAATGCTTCTTACGGAGCCACTCCTTAGTTGCCCTGGCTGTGTGTTTGGGGTCATTGTCATGCTGGAAGACCCAGCCATGACCCATCTTCAATGCTCTTACTGAGGGAAGGAGGTACAGAGCCACTCCTTGGTTATCCTGGCTGTGTGCTTCGGGTTGTTGTCATGTTGGAAGACCCAGCCACGACCCATTTTCAATGCTCGGACTGAGGGAAGGAGGTTGTTGCTCAAAATCTCGCAATAAATGGCCCTAACCATCCTCTCCTCAATACAATGCAGACGTCCTGTCCCCTTCACAGAAAAGCACCCCCAAAGCATGATGTTTCCACCCCCATGCTTCACGGTTGGGGTGGTGTTCTTGG